TAAATAATTGATGGCCAGTGAAAAATATATTCTGCAATTTGTTCACTAACAATTATCTTTTGTTGTATTTTGTCAGTGTGACCCGTATTTCAATATTCAATTCCATTTAATACACAGGGAATACCCATGGCCTGTGAGAGACCTGTACCAATACAGCAAGAGCAGGGTTGGAGTTAGTTTCAAAGAAAATAAGCAGTTGCTAAGGGACCATGGATTTGTTTATGCCAGACCTGGCTAATGCAACCTGGCATTGCATTGCAGCAATGCAACCTAGCATGCAGTTCCCAGATGGCGTTGATCGCTGTCCTGAAATTAAGGGACCTGTCTGAGGACGTCTGCTGTCCCCTTTTAACCCTGAAGTAGTCACATAGAGATATAAACATCCCCAGAACATTTGAGATAATTGCCACATAAAATAGTATTGTCCCACTCTTCTGGAATTTCCAGGACTTTTCAACAGCTTGCGTACCTTTTCCCTGAGGAAACAAAACCTGCGGTATGCATTGATGTCCTTATGTGATGTGGAAGTACTGAAATCCCTATATGCATCCAGAATCGTCCATGATTTACATAACATTGAATTATTCATGATGCTTATGAACAGTAAGAGGTTAATGTCAACAAAAATTAGTATTTCTGATTAGGTTTTCCATACATATATAAAAAACAACTTATATTGTAGTAGTTTCCATAAGCAAGGTAATACATACTTGGCTTTTAGATTATATTGCACTTAAACAATTGTAATTATTTATAAATTTTATATTTTAAAAATTAACTATATTTATTAGTTGAAATTGAACATCACAAAGAATAAATTGCAAAAGGACAGTAATTGTTAGTAATATGAGAAGAAAAGAGCGGGGAAGCCAGGAATTCACATGCGACTAATAATAACACAAAACAGCACTTCGGTTCCGAAAGGTTAAAGGTATGGTTACTTTATGTTACGTTATTTATTCAAGGTATATCGTGTTAAAAAATTGTTAAAAAATGACTTATCACCAGCATATTTAACAAAGATTATTCCTTATTCTTAAGAAGTCACGAACTGAACTGATGCCAGACTAAACATGTTTCTTCTGAAGGTACTTATCCACTCAAAGGGGATAAATCCTTAATTATTGCATTTAATTCATTCTCAGCAAACATATGAAATTTCTATAGTAATAACATTTACAAAAATCTAATTAAAAAAAAATTCCCCTTGCAGCCGTCTAATCTGTTATTTATCTTGTCTCTAACAACATAGGCACTTGTGAAATAAAACATTTAATTTCACTATTAGAAATTTTAATTCTCTTCTTCTAATACAATAGTACATAAAAGAACACAATTAGAACAAGTTATTCATGTATTCTTGATACCAAAACATAAAACTATAACATAGCAACTACAGTTAGAGCTATAATGGTATCTAAATATTTGATGAAATCTCGACAATTAATTAAACTAGTAATTAATATAATGTATAGCACTTTTGAGAAAAGATTTCATTTGCTCTAAAAAATTAGTCCCTTATGGTATTTATGTTGCCTAACTTTCCACATGTGAAAAAAATTTATTTTACTCATTTACACTATCAATTACTGGGCCATTTCTAAGGAATGTATGCATTTGCTGCATACCTCTTGTCAGGGAATAATTAATCTATTTCAATGATTTTTTTGTAGAACTCTTATTAAATTGTACTATTTAATATCATTATGATGATCATTATCATCATCATTATGAACTGACCAGAAATTAGGCTTTACAGCATGTTTCTATTGGTTTATTGCAGGATTCTTGGTAGATTATTAGTCTTCCAAGTGCTCTTGCTGTTGCCACCTCTTTAGTGATCGGCTTCTATTTCTGTTCTCTATTGGCTTGTTCTTCCAGATTAATTTTGGAAATCTGTTGTTGTTCGTTCTCTGTAAATGATCTTTCCATCTCCTTTCAGACAGTTCTATCTCTTCTACTAAGTCTTTGTTTTTAAATATCTTTCTGGTGCCTTTATTTCTCATTGTCTCTTCTTGTGATTCCTATGAGGTGTCTTAGGAAGCTCATATGTGCCACCTATAGTTTTTCTTGTCTTTATCTTTCATTACCCAAGTTTCAGAACCACATGATTCTAGGATTTTCTAGGATTAGAATCTATATTGTGGAATTTGTTTTGTTTCCCGGTCCATGTCTTTGCCAAAGTGTCTCTTAATCATTCATTATTCTATTGTAGTAATTAAGTTTGTTTTCTATGTCATCCTGAGTTTGGATATATACACTGGTGATATTTCTGAGGTATGAACATTTGTTTACTTGTTCCACTATTTTTCCATTGATTACAATTTTGGCTCTGCCCAGTTCCTTGCTTGGTATTGCCATAATTTGTTTTCTGAACTGCTATCTTCATGGAATATTCCTGGGCCACTTTTGTCAATTCAAAAACTGCTCTTTGTAAATTATCATCAGAATCCATTATGATAGTTTGGTCATCAGCATACAAAATTGTACCTATCTTCTGGTCTTTTATGATCTGTATTCCTTGTCTTACTTTTCTTCTCCAGTTTCTCACTAAGTAGTTAATAATATAGGCTTGTTGATGAGGATGAGTGATAATTCGCATTCTTGCCTCAAGTCATTGTTGGTTTTTACTGCTGCCAACTTACTTCTCTCTCTTAACAGTATTTTAAATCTTGAGTTCTTGTGTAGACTTTGTATTGCTTTGAGCAACTAATTTGGAACTTTCTCCTCTTCTAGTATTTCCTGGAGTTTTTGTTTATTAACTTTGTCATATGCCATTTCATAATCAATAAATGTTATTAAAGTTGCTACTTTATTCCTTTCTCTTCTTTTGTCCATTAACACCTGTAATGTAAAGATGGTGTCTTTAGAGCTTCTACCCTTTCAGAATTTACACTGATATAGGTGTGGTAAACAAAATTCAGCTTGGCCATACAGTTCACTTGCATATAACATAATTTGATATATTTACTATAGAAACATCACCAACCTGTTCAAATGATGTTATACATGTGAACAATATGTGGCCATGTTGAGGTAAACTGAATTTTTTTCACCAGATTTAATAACTTTTATATATCAATTTTACATATTAGTTTTCCTTTTATTGTAGATTTTGATTTTCACTTATTAAAGTGATAATCTTGTACCCAAAAATGAACCCAAGTATGGGTTGAAGCATTGTACACTTGCATATATCATCATTTGATATATTTACTATAGAAACATTACCAATTTGTTCAATTGGGAATTGTATTGTTACTATGAGAATTAAATGATATGTTTGTTTGAATGGCCTATTCTTATTCAGATACATCACAGACATGTAGTAATTGTTGTATATTGCACTATTTTGAGTATTCAAGCAATAATCTCATTTTTTAAGGTTTGCAAAATGGCATTTGGCTCTAAAAATGAAGTACATTAACCTTTAAAACAAAGAAAGATATTTTCTGGTTCAGGTGGTGCAATATTCTGCTTCGTGAGAATGCATGAAAATCCAAATATTAGAAAAAGTCCTCTAAAATGGAGAGAACACAGCAGAGGTGCATGGTACTTACAAAATCTCGAAGAAATACCAAATTTCCAACCAAAAAAAGTAAAGGTGAAGTTCTTTTTGTAAGATATGCTTATTTGAAAGGAAAAAGTTGATAAAGGTGACAAAGAAAATAAAGAACATTTTAAAACTTTAATACATCCTGGGGGAATTAAGGAGCAAAATGTAAACAGAAATATTTTAGTTCCTCTATATTTATTTTGAAATAATAGAGATGATTTATAAGTTTTCAAAAACAATACATAACAAGTTATCACTATCAAGCAATAACTCCCCATCATGAAAGATGTCATATTGTTTTGTTCATAAAAAGAAAATGTTACCTTACAGGAGTCTGGAAGTATTTTCTAAGAATAAAAAATAGAATAAAAGAAAAGATTAAAATAGGAGAAAATTATTCGTCAAAACACTAAAAAATTTAAAGTTACTGAAAGCAAATATAATGTACGCCTGCAATCTTTAATGGTAATGCTGTTGTGAATATTTTCTGTGAAACTAACCTATTTAATTTAGTTCCTGCAAGATTTTCTGGAAAACATTTAAAACTCAAAAAAGAATATAAATAATTATAATGTTTGATTGCCTTGTTCATCAGTTGTAGACAACATAATAACCTGGGATTAATTTTAAAAATCAACCATGAGTGCTAGTAATAATGCAATTTTTTTCTTATCATAATTAAGAGCATAGTTTCTGATGCACTTATCTGAATTATTTTAGATATTTAACAGCACATTAGATTAGATATTTAGCAGTTATACATAGCACATCAGTGATTATATTTATCATATTGTTAGAAGATTTTAAAAGAGGTCAGAATCAGACAGTATTAATCGGTATTATAATCTGGTTTCCCTTAACACTATTAAACTGAAATAAAAGTGAAAACAATTGAAAACGATTCTGGGTTTGAAAACGGGAACGTTAATGAACTTCTGTCACGAAGCAAAAGAAATTAAACCTGGCGCATTTAAAAAATAATTTTCATTAAAATAAGGATGAAAGAGTGAAGTTCCAACGTTGGCAATCTTTAACAGTTGACGCCAGCCAGGCGAATCTATGATATCAAGGTCAAAACACCGATCTGGCCACGTTGCTATGGAAACGTGAATCATATAATATAACGTGATCAACACATTCGAGCATTCTAAATAGCTTTGAATGTGTGATAATGTTTAACATCGCTCGCCACAGTTATGCCAACATCTCAACAATCTGTTAAATCTTCTTTATGATTTTACTTAAAAGTATATTTCCACCTAAAAACACAACACCACTCTACTTTAAAATGCAGAAATAACTTATTTATTGGCAAATTAAAGTATATTTTTAAGTTTTACTCCGAGATTTAATTAAAAATACTAGATTGTCACGGAAGCCTTGATATGTTCAAATGAAGCGCTTTTAGTTCAACTTTTGACCACATACAGCGTGATTGTGTAGCAACATCGGCTGGTTTGGCTGCTGCTTCCCGCGGCTTCTTGTGGTATATGCAAGATTACACGTGCGGAAAAAAATATATTTATTGTGCATTTTTGTGGATATATTGTGTATAAGTGTCGTAAACAAGTTGTCAAATCCGTTTCCACATTTTGGTCGCCTCTCCTTGGAAAAGAAGGTAAGTTTTCCGGGATTGTGTTGACCATAGTAAACAAGAGGTTATCATTGTTATGTGGAGCGATTTCCCATCCAATATATTGTTTGAGGGCAGTGCATAACTTATTTCACATGGGTATCACGAAATATCTTCAGACTGACAAGGAACAATGGGTAAGTTTTAGTCTCCTCGGAAATAGGTTATGGTTATGTTGATTCGTTTTCTGTTCTTGCCAAAGTTAGGTTAAGCTAGGTTGTAAGGGTCACCGGTTTTAGAATTTAACTCTATTATATTAAACATTAAGTATAAAATTAAATAATGAATCGTTGATTAACTAGTCTAATTTTGAAAAATCGATGGGTTAGGTATGTTTTGACATTCTTCCTTTGACGTGGCTTGTTTATAAAATTCTCTGAGCTCAAGTGTTTTCTTGTGTCAGTAATTCACAATAGTTGTTTGTGAATAGAAAGTTTGTAGTTGATGGAATTGTGTGAGTGTTTGATGGGCTCTGCAGTTACTAAGAAAGCCTTGAGAAAGAAACAGTCTAAAACCCGAAAGTCTTGAGAGATAGTAGGCAAGATTGTTGATAGTGTTGATATTATTTTTTTATATTTCAATTTTAGAATATCACTACATTTTGGGTGCATTTTGTCTTATAACGAGGTGGCGAACTGCATATGAAATGTAGTGATATGATTAATTTAATGTAACTCGTGTATTAACTTTTACCAACAACATTTGTCCATTAAACCTCCTTGATCTTAAGATTGGGAATGTTTCTCTGTCAATAAAATATTTGCGTTGCTGTGAGTGTATTATAGTTTTATATTATTACAGGACAAATGATTGTTCTGCTTCAAATGTAGTGGTGTCTACTTAATGAATTCTGATTCTTGTATGTATGAATAGCAGTTCGTTTTAAAGCTTAGATATAAAGTAAAATTAAACATGAAGGTAGTAATAATTCAGGTTAATTTGATTGAAAATGGTGTCTTAATTTCAGTGAAGTGATACCAAATGTTTACATACAAAAATCAGGTTATACTTATTTCTTATATTTGACATTTATGATCAATTTTTGTGAAGTTTGTCAAATAATAATCAGAATTAATTCGCATACTTTCTTACATACAATATATTTATAAATGTATTTAAAAATGAATTATTTAAGCATTTTAGTGTTCTAGACAAACTGAATTTGTCTTTTTGTTGTACATGTAGTAAATACTGGAAGTAAAGTAATATATAAAACAGATTTAGTTATTGAAGCATGTGGATGTAACTTAAAATATTTATATTTTGATAGATTGAAAACATCAAACTTATTTGAAATCTGTGATTTTGTGCGAGTGCTATGTACCAGAACTTAATGAGAAATTTTACAGTTCAAGATTAAAGTTGGGTTTTCAGTGAAGAATAGAATAATTTTATCTGCAAATTCATGTTGAATTGTTTCTTGTTTCTGGAAGAAAGATTAGTTTGAATTGAATATTTTGTTTGTGGAATTACATTTTTTTCTTGAAGCCTTGGGTTCAAAATTAGAATACACAAATGTAATGTGTTCTTGCTAATTGTAATAATATTAAAGAAATCAAATCTTCCTTAAAGTATTTCATACAAGTATCTTGCTGTATCATAATTCACCTGACTGTATCCTTTCTTATTTTATCAACCTAACAATGAACACATACGTACATTTTTTGTCAAATTTATTTCAATACCATAATTCATTTGGTAATATCCATTCATATATAATCCATCACCTAACTACAAACAGAATATTTTTTGTAACTTTTATTTCCGTAAATTTGTTTTTTCTCTGTGAATTTTTTGAGAGCTGTTGAAGGCATAAAAGTATTTCATATTTCTTGTTAAGTGGATAGTAAAGCATAAAAAGTGTCAGATTACTGTGAAGGTCCATGCTGTTGGGCATAAAAAGCATAAATATTCAAATATGAAGAAATTGTTGTTGACTGAATTTTGAATAGAAACGCAGACAGTTACTAACTGGAAAATGATGTCAGAATTAGTGTACATTGAATTACTTAATGCAGTACTTATTCCTTTTGTTTAAATTAGTTAGTAGGGCAGAGTATGTGACCAAAGTGTTTGAGTGTTGACTCACAGTTTTATTAGTGGATTGTATCTTGAATTCCTGATGTGTACTGCATATTGTCTGTAGCCTCCATGCATATTGACCATTATTGCATAGAGCTAGGTTTGATATTGTGGAAGTGAAAACTCCTGCACCATCATTTTTTGTTTCCAAATGCCACATGGTGTTGGTTTTTCTTTTTTTGTCGGCCAGCATTCAATGAGCTGAGTGCTATAGACCCCCCCACACACACACGATTACACACGATTGTATTTTATTCAGATTTGAGAATTCATACACTGGCTGAATTTATGTTAATTAAAATTACATTCCATGTCAGTATGTGAAAATTTTCAAATCTTTGTATATACTAGTGATCTGATTCTGATCAGAAGAATGTATTATTTATTTATCTATCCAATAAAGAGAGTTTTGATATAAAGCACCAATTCACATTAAGTCCTTGACTATAGATAATAAATTATCTATAATGTTAGAACTGCCATTGATGTGTTTTTGTATAAATAACAAATTACAATTTTCATTGAACTATTATGATGAGAGTCTAATCTGAAGTTTTCTTCTGAAGACAAATGATAAGATTGAAATGTCATCATCGTTGCCCAACTGGTTAGTACAACTTGAAATTGTTTTAAGATGTTATTTAAAGTAAACTTCGCTCCACTGTTTGTGATGTCCCTAGTATGCATTGGGCATTTGAGAATTGGACGAATGTGGCTTCAACCAGCTAGTGGTGTTCTCAGGCTTGACCCTGTTTGTATCCCCATCACCCTACCTAGGCCTGTCTGAAGCTGCTTCTTTTGGCACACAGCAGAGAAACTGAGACATTTTGTGTTAGCAAGTTACAGCTTCATTTCCAGAAACAACTGATGTTGACATGGAAAGGTAGTAAATCACGAAAAGCGAATTGTGGAGAGGTCCCAAAAAAGTTTTGATACTACTAATAGTAGTTGTTTTGTTTTTAATACACACAGAATGTTCCTGTTAGTTTTAAGAAGTATATTTAAATGAAGGTAGATTTAAAGAACATATTAATGATATGTACAGAGGTGAGAATAAAATGCCTAATAACGCAGTGCAGCAATTTTTATCATTGTGTCTTGCCACAATATCAGTCTTTTCTAAATCACATATGCTTATTGCGAAAACAAAATCAGAAATGTTCCATGACATACAATTTTTTCTGGAAAAGATACGTCACATATACCACTTTTGAGAAACTTGGAAACAACTCAGAAACAGTTCAGGAGGAATCTGTAGATCTGCAAATCATTTAACAAAAATTGTATAATTAATTGTTTGTATCACAAAACATAAAATGAAAACAGTATGAGAAAGCTGAACAAAGCTTGAAATGTACCTACAAGTTAGAAACTTTGTATAGGAGTGTCTAGCAGTAATCTGCCAATAGGTTTGGTGGCCATCTTCCCTTACATGGTCTTTCCATGGCAGTGAGATCTTGGTGAAATGACTCCACATGTTGGTGACTTTCCTCACCAAGATTACGTGGCAGGAAATTCAAATGGGAATGAAAGCTATGATGCAATTTGAAAGACAGCCCTGTGCCAGTCGCGCATGTGTTCTGTCAGTTCCCTGCAATGCAACATCGTCCAGTGCAAGCCAGGCTGCTTTCCAGGATATGCCTGCAACTGTTTAGAGGTATCCTCTTTCAGCAAGGAAGGCCCAATAAAATTCCTTCTTTCGTTTTTGCAGTACTGATCACAGGAACTTTAGATTACAAAGATCGAAAACCCTGGCCATCATCGTTCTTTGTTTTCACAATTTTCTTCATAAAGGCCAATTTCAGATAGAGTGGTGGTAACAGTACACTTTGCTTGTCAACAAGTGGTTCATGCCACACATTTTTTCATCAGGATTGAAAATTTCTCTCAAAGGCCACTCTTTGACTACATAATGGTCGTCTGCCCTTAATCCACCAATTCAATGACACAAGAAACAGCAATATTTTGTGTAACCAATCTGTATTCCCTGAATAATTCCCAGAACACGGATTTTCCTTCTGCAATTCGAAATAGCCAGTATACTTCAGAAGTAGCCTCATGTTCTCGTAGGTCTCCTTCAACTGAACGGAATGGACACTGGTTTTGGAAGTTTTTGTTTCCGTTATATCAGAGAACAGCTTTGAAACTATTTGAGGAATCTATAAATAGGTTCTTCCAGATTGTGAATCACCCCAAATTTTGTAAGCTGCTCATTTGTCATTAAAATATACAAAAATCTCAGCCATTGAGAAAAGGGTGGTAAAATTAAGCTCTTGGTTACAGAATGTACTACAAGTGTTTTGTTGTAATCTGAAAGTATTTGGTTGTTTTCTGGACGACGACCCAAGTAATTCTGCTTCCCTCTTTGAAAGATCATTCAATTCTGCCTATGACAATGGCTGTGGTTGTAGCCATACTGCTAAAGGCATGTAATTAAGATCTTCATGATCTACAGTTTTGTCACTACCGTAGTTTGTTTAATTTTCCAGTGTTCATTCTGAAGATTTCAAATTTTAATAAGAAAATGCTTTTTAATTTACTTGAAATTACTGTTACTCACGTTAAACAAATGTAGCAATCTATAATCTTTCTAAGTTCCTTCCACCATGGAGGAGCAAAACATTAAAAAAGTGGCATGACCATTTGTAAAAATTGAGTTCTTTTGTTGTTTTTACTGAGTATTTTAAATGCGGAAAAGAAAACTGAGTTGTCTTTCAATAAATTAAGCAGTACTCTATTTGTAGAGTTAAAGAAAGTGTTGAAAAGTGTAAAATTATTGCTACAATTTTCAGTTTTATTGGAAAAGAGTGAAGTGGACTTGTCACATGTTCAGTGTTTGCTCCTTAACTGTGGTGCAGCAAGTAGTATAGATGCCTGGGTTCCATGCAACCACCCTCTAATGCTATGTGAACAACAGTTCTGTGGTTTTCATTTACCTTTGATTCAATGTGCAACTCTTATGCTTTTTTGACAATCAGAGAAATAGGATGTCTTTGACACTTAGTCGTAAAGTCACCACAAACATATCAGAAAATATATTGTGAATTAACACACTTCGTAGACTGCACTGAGTATAAGAAGCATGCGTACACACACAAACATATTCTTCACAATAGCGGATTTTCACACTTCAAGAATAGACACTGTATAATATCATTATCGATGAATGATGCAATTGCAACTTGCCTTAACATACCTCAAGAGTCCATCTCCCTGTTCACTCCCACCACAAGGCAATAATATTCCTGAAATAACAGAATGTGACAAGGACTGCAACAGCATAGATAACGCATTGTACGCAGATAAAATTACCTTTACAGAAGATAGTTTAGGTGATGACCAGTATTTTTTACCATTGACATTGGGACATGGAACTAAATAATCACATGTTTTTTTTCTGCTGCAAATTTCATTTTCATATTATGTAGTAGAATTAATTTCAACATGAGCAGGAGAACCTCTTTTTATGATTACTCCTTTCAATTGGTGGCGGATAATAAATTTCAGAAATGCTCTTGATGGATTTACTTTTTTACAAAACACTTTTTTCCACAACATTCATTAGAACCATCTGTCTTTTCCCCTTAAATGCAATTGTCACACCACATGAATGAAGTTCCCTTTGGAGTATATGCTAAGTGATCATCTTTGGGAAACAAAGAGGCCTGCTTGTTCTCTTGAGGACTGCAGGGCAGAGACAAGGCACTTGGCAAGCTCCCATGAGCCCGTTGCTCTACACCTTGGGAACTCTTTTTGCCAGGACAATTTTCCATTATTCATAGCAACTAAACCACTCCCAACTTTTGAGTTGCGCTATTGGCATAGCTTCTTGATAAAAACTGTTTTCACATACCTTTTCAACAAAAAAATCTGGAATTTTTTAAACTAGCTGTATTTTTCCATGTCAGCATCTCTGACTTGGAACTCTCATTGTCTCTTGAAATTATATCAATATAATATCAATACCTTAAAAATTTTATTTTGTAGCAACTGCATTCTGAAAGACTTTTGAGATTCCACATACATTCAATTAATTCTTGTCGTAGATAATAAAGGCAAATCTACAAAGGAATCTGTTCTTAAGTTTTTCTTTATTGTCTGTCAAATTGGTTATGTGGTGAACAGACAACAGAAGCAAACCCTCCGTAAGAGTAAGACGAAATGCTAGATCTTAAAAGTCAAAACATTATAAAAATTTTTAGTGTTAGATAGGATGAGATATAATGTTTCTCATAACTTTATAAGAAATAACAGGAACTTTGACGTTAACATTGAACCTGCTACTCTCCAAAATACTCTACAAATTTCAAGCACTTTTTGTTTGCGAAACAGTGAAATTCTTGAAAATGACTGTTCATTGAGAAGCTCTTAGAGAAACATATATCTGTATGAAGTTCTGGAGCATTGGCTTTGCAACAATCACTTATATTAGAGAAAGATGGAAACAATCTTAATTTCCTCTGTTTATAAAATAATTGACAGGGTGTAATCACATATGCAAGTCACAATCACTCACAACTATCCAGACAAGTTAATTGCCTAGATGAGAATCTCATTGGGTGTGTGACTTGATTTCCAAAAAGAAATCATTAACACAAGTATTAACTATTGGTTAGATATCATATCACTCAGGACAACAATGGATCTCCCACAGGCAATTTATTTTATTTTATGATTATTACAACAACAAAAATAATAATAATAATAATAATAATAATAATAATAATAATAATAATAATAATAATAATTTATTTCCAAAAGAATTACTTTGACAGTGTACAAAAACCATCACCATAAAAAACAATAAGAAAGAATACCAAGTTATGTTCTACTACTTTACATACATTATTCATTCTGTTTAACCTTTCGGTAAAAATTCTGGTCTTATCAGATTTAAATTTTAAATTGAAATATATTTATTACATTTTACTGTTTGCCAGTAACTGTATGATACCTGAATTGTTTTTATTGGAATTTAGATTTTTTCAAGGAAACTCAACAGGCACAAAGAAATCAAAATCATCAAATTATCTCAAATAACAAATAAATTGTAAATAAATAAAAAGATATGTCAGTTGGCAACTGGCTAATATGAAAACTAAGTTATACTTAATTATCATTTTGAAAAATTGTAGTGACAAATCTACAAGCAAAGCGAAATAAAATTATTATCTAAATTAAAAAAACAAGAAAAAAATAGAACTTCTATGCCAAATGGCAGCTGACATTAACTTGAGTTAAATTGTCCAATTATAAATAATTAGAAATCAAATAATTGGACTCAAACACAAAAATTAGTCCATACCGTGAACCATTAACGAAACTCAATGAGAGTAACAGAAGCATTATACAATTTTTACGAATTATTATCTTGTGATAACCTCTGTTTATAATATGAAGATTTATAATAATTAACAACATAATAAATCGTACCCATACTACCATTAATAATACAATTTACGAGTGAAAATGTCAAAAATATGCTTAAATACTGAACGATAAGGAGGCAAATTGAAGGTAATGATGACCCTCATTTATCACCTATCATAATGTTAGACAGCAAGTCGTGAATTAAGGTCTCTAGGAATACACATTCTACTACTACAC